TTCTCACTATCTCTACTCTCATCCTCTGGCAAAATCTAAAAAGAGGGAGAGAGAAAATTGCAAATTTGCAAGAATTGCAAATCTGCAAATACTAACAGAGAGAAAGAAGATGAGAGGGAAGGGGAGGGGGATGAAATAGACATCATAAAATAATAAAAGTAGAAGCTCTATCATGGATAACAAAGTTTGCCTAACCTCTCCTGGTCAATCCAAGCTCTGCTTTTAACTGCAAAGTATCCTGGATAAAAAGAAGAGAACCAGGGACTAAGGATTTATATCCAAGATTTTAGGAGAAGGAGGGAGACTTTAGCATTGAATGGAAGATATATTGCTTCAAAAAATAGGAAAATGATCAAAAAAATTATAACTGCATTCTCAAAGAGACATTATAGTTTTATAATAATAGCTTTTTTCTCCTTTCTCCATCTCCAGCAATGTGGGAAAATACTAATTCTATTAATTAAATCCATAGTCACAGAACCTGAGAATAAATTTTTTTATTAGTTTTTACTCTTTAGGGGGGAGAACTTTTAGAAAAGGAGCAAGTCATTGGATTTCCCAACCAGTAGAAAAAAGAATCATAAAGACAAATAAAACTAACAGCGTTTAGTTATCAACCACAACAATAAGGGCTAGATAGTGGCACAGCAGTAAAACATGACTTCTGTAAGACCAACCCACGTGAGAAGGTTCCAAGTTTGTGTCCAGAGACTTCCTTGAGTATGCCAGGCACATAATGATCCAGGACTGGCTTAAGTTGGTGTGGATCACGGTGTCAAGACTATATAGGGGTGCCGTCTGTCTCTCTCCTTCTCATGGAAATAAATAAATAAATAAATAAATAAACTTTTTGAAAAACAGCAATTGGGACCAGCAGATGACATAATGGTTACATTGCTAGACTCCCACGTAGTTGACCATGGTTCAAGTCCCAGACTCAGAGGCCTAAAATTCATGTCAGGCACATGTGTGTGCATGCCTAAAATCCTGAGAGGAGAATAGAGAAGGGACTGTACTGTGGTCATCCCCCCGGGGGGTGATTTCTTGGTTTTGGTCCCTCTATCTCTGTCTCTCCAGTGAGTATGCAAACCCTATAGCAAAAATCTCTTTAAAATTAATTAATTAATTAATTAATTAAAAGCAGCAATTATTCACATAAGAGGACAGCAAAGGAAGGAATGTGCCGCCAAGTCAAAAGAGTAGGGAAATGAATCTTGCCCCTGCCAGCCAATGAATGGAGATGACAATGTGGGGAGTCTGGTGGCTTCCTAGTTTCTTCTGGGGCTGCTGGGGGAGTGAGTAAATATAAACATCTTCAAATAGCCCAAGATGTGAGAAATTGAAAGCATAGCAAGCTGGAGAAGTCATGAGATGATATATTTAGGAGAGCTTATTTTGCAAGCTAGAATTACAGAACATCAAGATGCGGTCCATTAAAGTACTTAAGGATGAGTTTCTATGATGGGGGTGGGTGGCAGGAGGGAATTATAATCCATGACAAAAAAATCATAGGGGACCATCATTTTTCCAAAGACTAAGTGATGATTTTAATAAATTGGCTCATTAACCGTCATTCAACAGCCAATTTTAATATCAATGCTGGTTCAAGATTTCAACAAAAGGAAGTGTTTTACAAAAGAACTACCAAGAACCCAGAAGTGCTTAATGGAAAAAAGAAAATGCTATGCGGAGAAATGTCTGCTCTATATACGATTTAAGTACACATGTTTTTCAAATGGGGGCTCTAACAGGAAAAGGACCTTTAAAAGTAGACACTGCTGCAAATTCCACATGCTCACAGAGTTCTTTATGACCTATGGAGGTCCTATCACAATTCTATCTCTTTGGAGCCTCATAATTATCTTAGAAAGCACAAGAATTAGGGACCAGCAGATGGTGTCATGGCTATGTCACTGGACTCCCATGTAGTTTACTGTGGTTCGAGTCCCAGACCCTGTGGTTTAAACTCATGCTGGGTGCCTATGCATGTGTGCCCAAGATCCCAAGGGGAGAATGGAGGAGAAGAGACTGTGGCGTGGCCAACCCCTCTGAGGAGTAATTTCTTGCTTTCTGTCTCTCTGTCTCTCTCTGTCTTTCTGGTGAGTGTACATGCCCTATAGCAAAAACCTCTCCAAAAAAAAAAAAAAAAGAAGAAGAAGAAGAAGAAGAAAGAAAGCACAAGAATTATGCTTATTTTACAGATAAGGAAAGTGAAGCTCAGGTTAAATGTGTTGATATAGTCATAGTTAACAAGTGAAGGACTGAGAGGTGAACCCAGTCAGAATCCAAATCCTATGCTTTTCTCCCCTATTAGGTTGTGTATCTCAGAAACAAAATCTGGGCTCTAAGGTAAGAATGTAGAGGATTTCAACTTTGTTTGCTTGCTCTGTCTGACTCATTTACTAGGCTGCCTCCACTCTTAGTTACTGTGTGTTTATTCACCTCCTGGAAGGCACTTTTCACTCCTTGGCAGCTCAAAGTGGTCCCATCAAGGAACTTTCTCAAAGACTTCCTTTAAGTTTTAAAACATTGAGTACATCATTCTCCTCATTCCACATTGTTTTGCTATTTAATTTTCCTAATTGTGGTCTGTCTTACCCATAAGACTGTTCACTTGTGACTGGAAGAAGCATATTGGGTTCCCTTCTGTGAACCACCTGCAATGCCTAGCACTGGGACTGACACACAGAAGATCCTCACTAAATGCAAACAAAATGATAAAGAATCAATTGTTCTTTAGCCTTCCATGATAAGTTATTTCTTGGCATTATACAATTTGGGCAATACAATAATTTGTACTACATAGTATAGGAAATTTATCAATTTCATAGTTGCTTGAGGTTCAAGTTGATGATTTTGTTTTAAGCCAAGGTTTTATCTTAAATTAATTTGCTGCTTCACCAGTCTCCCTCCTCTCATGGGGAAGAATGGAAATATAGTGAGAGCAAATAATAATAGCTATTTATTTATTCAGTATTTATCATGTACCAGATACACACTAAACTATTTATATTTATTCTTCCATTTAATTTTCATAATCACTCGCTTCAGTTTACGGATGAAGGAACTGAGGCACAGAGAAGTAAAATAACTTTCCCAAGGTCATACAGTTCATAGAAAGCAAGTTCAGATCTACGACAGAGACAGACATTAAAGAAATCACTTGGTATAATTATAAAAACAGTTACTCTATGGTCTTTTCTTTGTTTTCCTAATAGTTATTGAGCTGCACACATCTTGCATGACTTCTACTTTAATCTTCACAAACACTTTAAGATGTGTAATATTGTTCTTTGGGCTCCAGCATTTATTAAACACCCGTAATTTTTAGAACAATAATTAAAAGTGAGGAGACCCTCTGCCTTGGCTTTCTCCTTTGTATGATAAGATTAGGAAGAGTTATTGTGAGGATTAAATTAATTTATGCATGGAAAGCACCTGGAATACTGCCTGGCACATGGCAGGGTTCTGCTGGAGAAAGCTATTGTCATTGTTGTTTTTGCCCCTGACCTGCCTTCCTCAGCACTGTCAAAACCCTGAAGTGTAGACATGCACTTATTACCATAGTAATGCATATTCATATACCTTTCTAGCTGTCAGGATGTGTTTTAAAACAAATTGGTTTGGCAAATATAAGAGAAATATGCCTAAATGAAAAGTCCATATCTTTATGAAAATACTATTGCACCTAGAACAGTGACTGGCACATATTAACAAGTTATCGAATATTTAATGATAAATCTATAAATAAATGAATGGGCAGCCAAATGACAAAATAAATGATCAAGAGCTCAAACAAGAAAGTGACTTACATTATGAAATTTAAATTGATCTGTAGAACCTGGGAATAAAGAAATCTGAAGAAAATTAAATGAAAAGCACATTTTCCCCCAAGAATTAGTATTTCAATATTTCACTAAAATCATTATAAATCATGTCTCTATTAAAATGCAATTAATATTTTCCAAAAATAAGTGGTATGAAGTCACGTAAAAAGCTAATAAACTTGCTGTTCAATTGTAAGAGAATCTTACTGAGCTCTTGTACACAATTGAGGAAGGAAGTCTATGGTCAGGTTTTTATTTCATCCTTAATTTCCCACACTTTTCAAAGAGCTACACTATAACTCTTTCTCTAACATTTGCAAGGAAGTATTGCAATTGTGAAAATAGATGCTCCAAATACCTAAGCTAAATATTTACATTCTGCCTTTTTAGTTAAACAATTGACTTTGTTCTCTAGCATTTAGGTCAAAATACTTAAATGTTGTAAAACATCAGTAACAAAAGGATCTGCTTTTTCAGCAGATAGTCTAAACTTAACAGGTTTTAGCAAAAGGTTCACAAGAAAGAAATAGGCAATTAAAAAATGTTAAGGTACACACACCCAGAAGATAAGGGAAAAAAAGCAGTGGGGGTATTAGCCATGTATTCTTTTTAGCACAAAAACACTTCCCTTCCACTTTCCTATGTTTGTGTAGTTAAGCCTCGGTGAGCATTTACTTCCATTTACATCATTATAACAATAACCTCAATTTGCTGATTTTAGGTAGGATTTACTTCAAAGGAGTTCTTAGAGTTTGGCATGCATTAGTTAATTTGTTTTTATAGCATCCCTGTATAGAGACATGTGACTAGCATTTTATCTTTATTATATAAAATTAAAACCGGACGTACTAGGTGATGAACCGACTTGCCCAAAGTAGATAAAGTCACATAATTATTAACTTGTGAAACTTGGCAGAGAACTCACATCTTCTTTTACTACAGTAGAGTTTATTTCCCACTAGTTTGTTCTTCCTTTACATAAATTTAAGAAGTCACAATGAACAACTGGGCAGAAAGAAGTAGCCAGGAAGTACCTGGGTACCTCCAGGAAGATTTCTCAAAATTGGGTTAAACTGACCCAGCAGTAGCTCTGAGACCAGAGAAAAAAGAGCTGAAAAAAGAACTATATGTTTTATGACATTCAGTGACTAATATGTAAATTACCTTTAACAGGTCACAAACGAAATTGTGCAAGAGAAAATATGACACATGCCTGTAATGCAGTAAACTTCTGTCCTCGTTGGCTTCACCTGAGATGCCTGCTCTGACCCTGGGTTATATGTCAGAACCTTTGAGCAAATCGTCAACCTGCACTCTCTCGTGAGGTGATGTAACTGCTCTTCTGAATGCTGGGAAATGGTTCTCCAGCAGGCAACTTGGGGCAGGTGGTAAGTGTGAGGAGACTGCAAAGGTGTGGCAGGTATGTCCAGTTGCACTAAACTGGCCACATTTATGACACTGAAATTGCACATTCTTCAGTAAGGAAACCATTCAAAGGTCCCTTGCTGCAAAAACCACAGGAGGAATTTGGATTCTCACGGTCACCTCTCTCAAACATGACTTGAACTGCCAGGACTGAGTCATCTTCTTTCCACTGGGGTCACATTTCTTGTGGCAGGTTCCACCTGTTTCAATATTTGGTTGATGACAAAAGTGAATCCAGGGCTGAGCGACAAGGGCAGATGAGCAGGCTTCTAAAGCAATTGTGGGAGAAGCCAAGATAACCAGTCCCCTGCAAAGGTATTATGAAGACAGCTAGACCAAAAGAGGGTGTTCAATAGATACTTTTGGGGTTAACCCAAGAAAGTTGTTCGTGTTGAGTGAGGTATCAATTTAAACAGCAGTAAAATATGCAGTAACTTGAATTGCAGCAAAAAGAATACAGGCCTGATATAGTGGAGAACTTTGGAACACACGACAAGGAAGGAGAAAAAAAAGGACTACATAGATCTCTAAAGTAGATATCTGCAAGTAATACCCACCAGGGGCCTTTCTTATACTAGAATAATCTGGAAAGAAACAGGCTCTAGCCAAACAAGGCATCTTTGAGAGAATAGGAATCAAAATCCTTATCTGCCATTTTGAAAAAACCTTTCCTTAACTCTCCTTCTTCCTGCCCTCCACAATGCCCTCCATGACACCCTACCATCAACCACTTTATAAATTGATTGTTATATTTATAATATAATGCCAGGAACCAATTTCTCCCAGCACAGCTTTTTATCCCACTCAACTTTTCAAAAACATTACCTCTTTTCTACTATCTCTCATAGTTGAAGAAGTGAGGGTCCCACTAAATTAATAACTATATTAGAAATGGATTGAGTTCAATCAGTCCTCCTCTATCTTAACCTTGTAAATCCAAGAATCAGTTGTCAGTACTTATGGAAATAGAGAACTATGTTGGGGTGTGGTAGAGTAAACAAATACAGCTGTCCATTGTGACTTATTAAATTTACATTAGGGAAGAATAATCCAGTGAGGGAAGAAAACTCTACTGTAGTAAGAGAAAATAATAAAGAGAATCTCCAAAGGATCTAGAATGTTATTCCGTCTTTGCCCCTTGCTACCTGTGCAGCCTTGTGTTCCAGAACTAGGAGGCTCTCTGCCTGCTTTCCCCTTCAAGGGCTCACTGTCTGCATTCTCCTTAAGAAAATCTGCTACCATCCCCCTCTGAGGAGCCTTTTTTCTTTCTTTTTTTTTTTTTTGGAGAGATTTTCACTATAGGGCGCGTGCGCTCGCCAGACAGACAGAGAGAGACATAGAGACAGAAAGCGAGAAATCACCCCCCAGGGGGGGATGGTCACGCCGCAATCCCTTCTCCTCCATTCTCCCCTCAGGATCTTGGGCACGCACGCACACGCACCCGACTGAGTTTTAAGCCACCGGGTCTGGGACGCGAACCACGGTCGACTACGTGGGAGTCCAGCAACATAGCCATTATGCTAACTGCTGGTTCCCAAAAATACGACTTTCTTGACATTTTTCCTCAACTGCTACAAGCACAGATATTTCTATGATATTAAAACACCTATAATTAACCCAAGACATTAAATGCCATCACAGTTCTGTATTTCCATAGTTGAGGAAGATGTTATAACTGGGCTTTCATTAGACAATGCTTGTGGTCTTTTTTATGATCATTAAACCATGTCATGTTGTTACTAAATTTTTTCTTATATGAAACTGTGAGATCCTGACAAATAGTAACCAAGGAAAGATGTGTGTTAATATACTCCTCCTTGCCAAATGGGAGAGCAGGCATAGGAAAACAGAGCAGTTTATCACAAATCACAAATATAGGTTTCTGAGATAAAAAAGAAAAAGCAGAATTATTTAATTCCAGGCTTTAACTCCTTCCACTTTTACTGTGACATGTCCAATAGGATCTATAGACCTTTCCTGCACACCTCAGAAGAATCAGGCATTAAAGAGATTGCTCTGTTCTTCTACCTCTTTATGTTTCACAGGTAACATTCTGAGGACCACAAAACACATACAACTTGCCCAAGATCACTTGGTTAGTAACAAAGAGCAAGAACTGGACCAGCAATGGTGTGGTGGTTAAGGTGCTGGATCCCACATGGCTGACTCCAAAGTTTGAGTCCCAGGCCTGGCAGCTTGAAAAATATGCCAGGCACATGTGTGTTAGCCCAAAATTCTGAGAGGAGAAGGGACTACAGCATGGCCATGTTCCCTGAAGGGTGCTTTCTCATCATTTTATCTGTCTCTCTACACCAAAAACAAAAATGAAAAAAGAAAAAAAAGAAAAAGGAATGAAGGAAGGAAGAGAGAAAGAAAGAAAAAGGAAGGAAGGAAGGAAGGAAGGAAGGAAGGAAGGAAGGAAGGAAGGAAGGAAAGAAGGAAGGAGGAAAGAAAGGAAAAGAAAGAAAAAGAAAAAAAAGAAAGGAACATAGAGAAAAAGGAAGGAAGGAAAGAGGAAGAAAAAGAACTTAGGACTCCTTCCTACCTCCTCATCATGGCCTTTTCTTAGACACTGCACTGTTTTATTCCATGTTTCATCACAGAGTAATGGACTGGGCTCACTTGCTCATTCAGCAAAAATGTACTGAGAATGTACTAAGAAACTACCTAACAAGCTAAGCCCTAGATACACAGCAGATTCTCAGCTGCTAAAAAATGGGAGGTTCCGTCTCCTTACCAAAGGAAAAAAAAAAAGGATCAAAAACCAAAATGAAAGATAAATATGTGAGAACAAGCCTTAGCATGTGGACTGGCCTGGACACATAACCTAACTTTACCATTTACTTTGTAACCTTGGGCTTCTGTGCTGTCTTTTATAAAACTGTAGAAAACCCTCAGAGTTTGTTTTTGAGGATTAAATAAGATAGTGTTTATTTTTTTAAATAGTGTCTGGACACAGAAACAGGCTCAATAAATGAAGCTCAGTAAGTAAGGAGTTTAATGGATAGTAAGGGCTCAATAAATGGTAGCAATTACCACTACTACTGACCACATTGGAACAGAGAGTGAGAGAAAAACTTATGGTCTTTTTCCTGTTCTCCATCAGGTAGCCTAGAGGCCAGGTATAGAGAGACACCTTGTTATCTGTACTTCAAGAATGGGGAGAAGTACTGGTGAGTTACAAGGAGCTGGGGAATGTTTCACTTAGATGGTTCTGCTCATGGCAGTACTTCTTAGCTCTCATTCTTTCTCACTCACTTTCTCTCTTGCTCTTCTCTCTCTCCCTTTCTCAGGCTGACTTTTAGTAAACCACCACTTTTAAATTCCTTAAAGTCAATGAGTCACCCACTAGTTCAAACTTGCACACATTCCTGCACGTTACAATTCAGAACCCTTGCCTAATATATTTTTAGTTACAGAAAGATATCAGACTAAGATGAGAACTGCTAAACAGGAAAAAAAAAAAAAAAGAAGCATATTGAGTGTTTTCCTTATCTGTCATCTTCCCCGTTCATTTAATCTATGACAACGTGGAAGCATTACATGAAAAGCAACATGGGATCCTTCTCCTCCTGAGCTCTCCGGGAGGAGAAAAGATAAGTGCTGGTAAACACCAAGTCACAAATATGGAAACACAAAGGCAGTTAGGGCTATATAAAAACAGACACGTCATCGTTCAGGAGGAAGAACATCCGTAAGACACAGGCATTAGCAGAATGTCTGTCAGGAGTGCAGCGGATAGCACCTGCTTGGAAAGGCTTCAAGGAAAAGAGTTCTGAAGGGTGGTGGGGTAATGGGCAGAGAGAGGATGTCAGAATTGGCAAGAGACAGCAAAGCACAGATGTCAAGAGATAAGAGACAAAGTGATCCCTTGGAAACAGAGAGCAAAAGTAATAAAATTTGCAAATTCCTTCAGAACCTGGTGGTACCAACACAGTCAAAGGGAACCAGAAAACTAAATAAATCTGATTAGCAAGCAGACCTAAATTATGCTGCATTTTCTCCTATAAAGTGTTTGTGTCTTATTCAGGTAATCAATCAGCTTTCTACTTAAATTTATCACAAATGAAAATGTGAATGCCCCAAACCCAAAGGCAAACACACAGCTTCAGAAGTTCAGCAGTGAATTGCCGACTTCATATAGATCACTGGAAAGTAGAGGTGTAGGAAGATGGCAGGATTTTTATTTTTTAATATAAGATCTGCAGATCTACAGAATTAACTATATTTTTAAACATCAAATATTTCTATATGTTTGTGGCATACCACATACACTTGCAAGTTTTTAATGTGTAGAACATTTATATTTTTGCTTTTTGTATAACGCCGTCTAATACAGTGCCATGTTTTCACATTTATAAATACTTGCTGACTAAGCTGATCATGCTTCTTACTCAGGTCATAAGACTCACACACATATCCGTTTCAAGAAACCTTGATTCACTCCTTTACAGAGTCGCTGCAGGCCATGTGAGTGACAATTGATATAGTGAAATAATAATTTTCATCTAGAGAGATCATTCGGTGTGACAGGCACTATTCTAGTGCTTTACTCATCATTTCTAATCCTTAATGATTAAGAAATACCACCCTGTAATAAAGCAGATGTTACAGATGAGAAAAACAGGGGCTTAGAGAAAAGAAGCAATTTTCTTGAGTCACTCCATTAATGTCACTGAAAGGAGACCACAGTCTAGCTCTAACTCCACATTGCAGTTGCAAGATCCTGTACAAGGGTCAGCTATAACTACAGAAAGGCTCTCTCAAGCTGTGTCTCAGATTTTAACAGGAAAGACCGGAGGGAGGGAGGGAGAGGGAGAGGAGAGAAAGAGAGAGTTAGAGAGAGAGAGAGAAGCTATCTTTGTAGACCTCTACGATCATTTTTCAAATAAAAAATTAAATATCCAGTAATTGAGCCCAAACAATCACCACACGAGATTAGAATCAGATGCTTAAATCAGTTAATAGCCCTTTTTCCTCTATTCCCAAAAGGCAGTGACTGAATGGAAGTCATATTTATTCAGGTCCCCAAACATCTCCATCCACATGCGGGAGTTCTGCTATGGAGACTGAAAAACAACCAGGTTGGAAATAATTGCAGCATGAGGTCTCACTTCCTCACCAGTGCCAACCAAAAGAAATCTTCCCAGTTAAGATAATCTCCTAAGAAACGATCCACACTGTCCGCAGACACTTGACACTAAGAAAGATGGAGGCTGTGCAGGTCAGCTTCCTGCCCGCTCTCCAGCCCCAGCTTGCCTCCAGTTGGATATGACTGTGGCTGGGGAAGAGCTGGCCAACTTCAACACCAGCCTCCTCTCCCACAGCACACTGGCTCCATGTTCCTCGGGATGGTGCCCTGGCTGGGACACAGGAATAACATTAGCCTCCAAAGCAGCAGCAGGGAAAGGCAGTTGTGCTCACACTGTTGTTTCTGGATCAGTGAGTGAGTCTGGGCTTCAGGAAACAGGAGGCCATGCAAGGACTGAAAGAGGCCCTTGTTGGAATGAAGTGTTCCTTTCTCCACATTGCTTCAGGGTGATACCCACTGCTCCTGCACCCCATGCATATTATCTGAACCCCAGGAAAACGGACAGCCACAACACTGAGAATGTACTGTGACAATGTCAGGGAGGTGATATTTTCCACTGAGCTGCATACTCACAACCATGCTCAAGGAATTAGTTAACTAAGGAAGTGTATGTGAAGGGGCTGGGTAAGGTAGGAGGCATGACAAAAATGTGACCTTTTGAATTAAAGAGAGATAAGAAACCAACCAGGAAATACAGCCCAATCTAGACAAAACAAAGGCAATACTGATCATAATAGAAAGATAGAAATTAAAAATCTAGAAAAAAGTTGAGGGAGGACCATTAAAAGCACACGACCTTTCTTAAAGAAGGCCCAACTGTAGAATTCAAAGAGACTGTTTCTCTCTGCCTCCAGGACACCCTCCATGCTCACTCTTCAGGACATGCTTCACCCTACTACCCAAATAGCATCCTAAGTTTTAAATATTTTCATCCTATCCTCGCTAAAATTTTTCAATGTGTATCTATTAACTAGAGCCATGATATTTCTCTTTTTAAAAAGATTTATTTAATTCTATTTATTATTTTTAAGAATTATTTATTTATTTAACTTTATTCATTATTTTTATTTTTTTAATTTGACCAGAGAGAGACAGAAAAGGAAAGTGAAAAGGCAAACTGCCAGAGCTGGGATTCGAACCTTAGTCAGCCATGTGGTAATCCAGCACCTTAACCACCGCACCACCTGCTAGCCCTGAGTCACGATTCTTAATAAAATTTTATCTATTTTTTTAAATTTGCTATAGGGCATACATGCTCACCAGAGAGAGATGGAGAGAGAGAGAGGGAAAGTAAGAAAGCAAGTCACCAGGTCCAGGATTTGAACCACAGCCAGCCATGTGGAAGTCCAGTGTCTTAACCACCACACCACCTGTTAGCCCTGACTAATGATTTTTAATGCCTTTTTGGATATCTGACTAGAGCTTTGGTCACTCTTTTTCACCCCTTGAGAACAAATCACCCACAAGCAATAGTAAATATTGAGTTGAAAACTTTGGCCTAAAGCAGAGGTCTCCAAATGGCTGTGCTCTATATAATCCTCCAGGCACAGGAAAACAATGCTAGCATTTCTACTTTTATGTATTCTTAGTTTTTAACAACACTAAAAGGAAAATAATTGGAAATACTTGGAAGTATTCTTATTTTGTGGCAGAAGGGTTATTTGCATTAGTTCAATAATGCTTATTTCATTGAAACAGAAATTGTAAATATTCATTATTGGGCAGGGCTTTGACTGGAATATTATATCTGAAGATCAATCAGAAAACTCTGAAACTGAGGTGGATCTCAAGTAAGCCAACAGAAGCTCTTAGAAAGGTAGGCTGGCACCATAAATAGTTCTGCCTGGTAGAGAGGATTAGAAACGATATATGAAAGAATTTATAACATAAAATAACCTGGACTTTTCCGGCCCAGCATTGTAATCAGTAGAGATTGCAAAAGAGCAACTACACCAGAGGATTATCTTGAGAAAGACTTTGAAGGAAGAAAAAGAGACTGATCTTTGCCTCCAGATGGTAGATTGCAGAATACTTGGTAGGCAGGGCTGAACTGAGAAAGTTTATGTGTGACTAGTGTGCTGGGAATTTGCTTTTCAAAAACTGGAGTAGTCGACAGGTAAATATTTTCTCAAAAACATTTAAAACCATTCTGTTTCTGCTGTTCTAGAGTCACAAACAAAATTATACAAAATTATAAGAAATATTTTGAACATTATCTTTAAAATTCAGTATTTTGAAATTTTGAAAGTTGTTTATTAACTGTCAAGAACCATGGAGTATAAGCAAAAATGTTTTTGATATGTAAAGTAAATGTGGAAAATGTAACAATTAATTAATTTAAAAATAATAATAATGATAAATAAAGTTAATATTTTTAAAATTTTCAAAAAAGAACATATTTTGAAGTACTCATGCTGAATGTGTGGAGTAACACTGGTGCCCTAGCCCTGTCTGTCCTCCACTTAGCATCTCTAAGTTTCCCCGAATAAAGGCGGAGAGTTCCACAAAGCAGAGGGTGATGGTAGCATCCTCATTCATTGCTTCACTTTAATATATTGGAATAAATTGCTTTTCACATCCCAGAGGATGCCATCAAAGGTTAAATTTATATAATTGATCCTTTAAAAAGTAGATTCTTTGCAAATATTTTCAGTTAGATGGAAAAGCTTATACCCCATACTGCTTGGCTGATTTGTACCAAATACTTCAAAGAGTTGTCCTACTAAAAGATAACTTAGATAACTTGCATATTTGGAAGACAAGGCTTCCAAATTGACCTTTTCTGCGAAGACTAGTGGTTGCTGGTATTGTGTAGATATTTATATATATATATATATGTGTGTGTGTGTGTGTGTGTGTGTGTGTGTGTAATTTTTTTTAACATGTCTCTTCAAGATAAAGATGGCATTTTAATGGTGGCTTTGAAGTCTCTGCCTTTCTAAACTAATTTGCTATATTGAAAATGGGTATGGAAGGCAGCCTCTTCAATTGCCCCACTGACCCCCTCTCCCTGGTATCCATGCCTTTGTGTAATCTTCTCCTCAGAGTATGGGCTGAGCCTAGGGATTCTCTCTAACAAATAGAACATAGAAAATGTTACTTGTGAGGTTCTACTTCAGAAAGGATGTGGCTTCCATCTTATTCATCCTCTCTCGCACTCTCTTTATGGAGAATCCCACTGGCAAGGAGCTACTGTCTCTGGCCTATAGGTAGTAAAGACCTGAGTCCTACCCATATAAGTGGGTAGGCAACATAAGTGACCCTGGGAGCAGGTCCAGCCTTGATCTGCCATTGGGCAGACCAGAAGCTTGGCTAACACCCCCAAATGCCACTTTGTGAGGGACCTTGAGTCAAAAGAACATAGTGAAGCTACTCCTAGAATCCTGATCCACAGAAACTATGAGGTCATAAATGTCTGTTGTTTTGAGATACTGATTTGGGGGATAATTCATTATTTAAGAAAAACATAATTCAGAAAATGTTATCCATAATTGTACTGATGGCTGAAAAGAATGGAAATGTATCTTATTAAAACAGAAAATAATAAAAAAAGGGGGGGGAGGGAGGCGCCCCATAGCCTACTGGTTAAAGAAGCCAGATCCCTCATGGCCAACCCAGTTCAAATCCCAGCCCCAGTAGCTTAAATAACACACTGGGCATATGTGAGTGCATGCCCCAAATCCTAACAGAACAGAGAAATGGAGAAGAGCTTGCAACATAACCATGCCGTGTTGGGGAATACTATTTCTCCCTCTCTCTCTCCCTCTCCCTCTCTCTTTCTCCCTCTCTCTCTATCTCTGTTTCTCTTCACATGCACACACCCTGCCAACAACCATTCCTTCAATTGGAACTGTATCTCTTTGTGAAGTATGTTATTTTGATTACAACAGACAACAAAATAAACTGAACTTAGAATCAGTCCTTTAAATTACTCCATCACATAGTATAAAATCAAATTTTCAAAACTACATAAGCATTTTCAAAGAAATTCCTCCTAATGTTTACAAACATTTTTCTTGGGAGTAAAAATATAAATTTTTAAATATTGTCTATTTAATCTCATCTATATATTTGATAAGATATAATAAATCCATCTTGTAGTACAGGTATATAAGTAAATACACATCCATGCAACTGATTAAATAACCACATATTTGAAAAGTATGTGATCACATTTACTTTTACTACTAGGTGTATGCAACTAAAAGTGCTGATTTAGCCCAACTTAAAAGAAAGTCCAAATGCCTTCCCTTAGTTTGTACAACTCATCTTTCCTGTCCTGCACCTAGAGCCACTTGCAATTTTCAAGATACCATCGAGTGAGGTTAGAAATAGATCCTCCTTCAGCAGTATTTTCCTACAGCAGCACTCACACTCCTTGTACCGTATCTAAGAAGCAACCCCTGCTCACATTCAATGCTCGGTTACTTGTCAACCATCTCAGGACACATTCCCCTTCTCTGTGCCCTCCATTCACCTCCTAATGCACTCCCAGTACCTTTTTCATTCCTCCATTAGAGGACTTACTACACTATTTCATCTTTTAGAGATTTGTTTCTTCCATTTACATTACCACACTAAGGGCTTCCATTTGCTCAGTAGCTGATAGTCTGCTGAA